TGGCGGTGTGCATTTTCCCTGGTGATAGGGAGTACTTGGTCACATTCAACCTCCAGCAAAATGACAAGCACATATCAAACTCTCTTATCACGAAGAGGTAAATGTGTAAAACAACGTTCATGAAACAACGTTTATATATATATATATATATATATATATATATATATATATGTACTTACTATATATATGTGTTTATAATAAATGTATATTTAGATATATATGGATATTTTTAACAAACAAAATAAATAAATAATTAAATGAATAAATAAATAAAGTGGTTCTCTTGAATTTGTCTAAAAATCTCTGCAAATCACATCTTTCAGACCGAAAGCAACTATTGGACCATACGTTTGTCGGTCTAGCTGAACCGCCGCACCTCCAGATTTCCCTGGGTCCTCATTTCATTAGGCACTTGCATATTTAGCAACAGAACCCCACTGGTTTGAGAAGTTAAGGCTTAATATTATCTGAGAAGGAAAAACAGTCAGCTGCTACCACTTCAACTTTAGGACAAACTACCAGAGTCCCAAAAAGAAAAACACCATTTGAAGTCACAGACAATAAGACGTTTGGACGTAAAAAATGACGACTAGTGTTTAGCGCTCTTGCGTTTCCAGTTCCGGCAGAAACATCTCAGGAAAGATACCCGATGGGAGGGGTGAGTGTTGCGCTCAAAACCTATAGCTTGTTCTAGCCTGGCAAGCTCTGGGAATGCTCAGTTGACGGCTCTCGGTCGTAGGGCGGGTTCAACCGTTTCTTTCAAAGAATCTCTGCATTGTACTGGACAATGACCAACGTGAAATACTCACAGCAACGGATGTCAGTCAGCAATAGGGTTGTCACGGTGTGAAAATTTAACCTCACGGTTATTGTGACCAAAATGACCACGGTTTTCGGTATTATTGCGGTATTTTTTTTAAACGTGCTACATTTTCACACAATTAAATAAACCCTGTATGTCAGGAAATATTGTCCTCAGTTTGTGTCTAAATTTTGCCTAAAATATGTTATTTTGTAATTATGTTGTTTATTTGTTTATATTTTTCCCCTTTAGTCTTTAAAATGCCAATATGCTCCTGATTCTAACTGAGCCCAAGTCCAAAATGTCTAACGTTGTTGTAAAAGCCATTTCAAACGAGTTGTAGCCATCTTTTTGCACTCCGTCGCATAATCCCGCCCACCAAATCACTGGAGCACCTTGACTGGCCCACAAAGGCGATAGAGAGCTGTGATTGGGCCAATCACTGTGCTCTATTGGTTTGAAACCTTAATAGAGAGCTGTGATTGGCCAGCCAGAATGCTACTAAGGAGGTCGTGGAGGTTCCAATGGGGCGTTACTAGTTCACTAAGCTACGCTTGTTCTGTAGATTTGTTATAACAGCTTTAACACTTGGTCGGCTTATTGATTTGTTTGATTAACTATGGTTGACTATGTGATTTTAATACAATGCAGTATGTAAAATTAAGATTTGAGAGTTGGTTTAATTCAGTGTTCAAAAACTGATTAGGTTATGGTGCTAAATGGCTTGTATTTCATATAGTAACTTCTAGAGTCCTAGAACCCCCCAAGTTGCTTTACAACACAGCCATCCACCCATGAACACATACACATTCATACCTTGAGGGCGATGAGTTACAATGTAGCCACAGCTGCCCTGGGACTCAGTGATGAAGGAGAAGCTGACATGCATTGGTCCCCCATACCAGCAGGCAATGTTGGTTAAAGCTTGGTTTATGCTTGAAACATTCACTTTCCGCTTGGTGATGCGGCTTGCGGATGGAACGCGCTTCACAACTCGCAGCGTTTATGGTTCATGCGGCTTGTCTCTGCGGTGAGCCAATATTCTCCCAAACTGAACGGGGCAGCATGGAGCTCTACAGCATGCATCCAACACTACACCATAGTAGAAGTAAAACTTTTACTGCTGTTTACAACATGGCATTCCAGCATTTTTTAACAGCGTCCTCTTCTTTTCCGACAGTGCGAGCTATTTCTCTCCAAGAATTATTAACAACATGTTGATCACGGTGATCTTTGAGAGCTGAATCATACAAATGTCTGTATTTACGAACCTCTGCCATACTAGTTCTTGCCAGTCTGCCAGGTTTTCCCGCGTCCGACCGTCCGCGTGGTTAGAAAATTTCCTAGGTGCGCGGTGCGGAAAGTTTGGGCCGTGCAGAGACGCGGTGGAGGAGCGTTGTTGTTAAAATGACGCAACTTTTCCACGTGGAACCGTGCGGACCTCGCGGACACGTCAAGCATAAACCAACCTTAACCCCAAAATTCCCTACCTCCGCTGCGCTCCACTCCGGCACGAACTCCGCAGCAAAAACGGTCTCGTTGTAGTCAATCAGAGCTGTTCCACTACTGCGGCCGTGCGGCGCAGTGCACCGCCTGCCGTTCCGCCATCCGGCAAAAATAGGATCGATTCTATTTTTGCCGGACGCCGGAGCACCTCCGCAGTCAATGGACAGAAATCAAAACCGCCCAACAGGAAAAGGAGCAAGCACAACTTCCATTATTTCACAATAAATCGATAAACAAAAAGCATTTTTTGTTTCATATGCACAGGTTTAACAACTTTTAACAACTATCAATGGCGGCTGAACTTTACATGCACAAAAATAAGCCATAAATACAGTTTCCACTATCAAAGTAGTCGCCCTTTGTTGATCCAAACACTGCTGATCTCTCAACACAAATGATGGGCAGATTAAAAAGTTCATTTTGAATCTTCTCCCACACAACGGGTGTTTGGATCTAACTTCCGCGTTTATTGCTCGGACTGTATCGCAAGATCTCTAAAATCCCGCGCATGCCTGTTTGCGCACCTCAGGTCTCCGCACCGGAGCAGAGCCGTTGTAGAGCGGGTACCAGTAAAAATTGAGTTCGGAAGCAAGCGGCTGTGGAAGGCGGGGGCGGAGCGGAGCGGAGGTAGTAGAATTTGGGGGTTAGTGTCTTGTCCAAGGACACATCATCAGCAATCTCTGCTGGGAGCCGAGATTGATCGTAAAACCCTCCGATTAGTGGACAACCCGCTCTCCCTCCTAAGCTACTGCTGCCCCAGGTTCAAAAAAGCGATACAATCATTGTTATCAGTGTGACATTTTAGCATGTAAATACGGTGGAAATCGTCTAGATATTGGTCATGAACATCGGCCGAAAGAATTAGCAGCACAAATCTGCCATTTTTGCCCTCCACATATTGGGAACGTAACAGCTGAAACCATTGCAGTCAATCTCTAAAAAATACCACCAACTATTTCTGTGGAGTGAACCCCCTTTAAAGGCTGTCACACAATTGTGTTTCTCAGCCACTTCAAAAAGTGTTCTGTTGTTCAGGGAAATGTAAGAAACTCATTCAAACATTTGCAAAAATGTTACTTGGTCTGTTTTTTTTTTTTGCGTAGTTGCTTTTTTCAGTAACTTGCAAAAAAGTATAAATAAATATCTTTATTTAGCTTTGAAAATTCATAAGACAATGAATTCAAAATCAAGATATTGATGATTTTTTGTTATAGTCCACCCAAGTTGAACATTTTACATTAAAACATTTGACTGACATAAATCCATAAGTAACATAAATGAATTATTTGTTGAACAAACAATAATAGTTCCTAAATAATATTGATAGTGCATATATCTCTGTCTAAACATATGGATCTGCAGCTGTCTCCTTTGTAAATTACAGATCACAATCCAAAATGATTTAATACCTAACTATCGGTCTGCTCTATCTGCCCAGCTGTAATAACCAAACCATTCTTTTGCCCATCTTTTTATTGCAGACTTGTCCGCAACAAACCGCCAACTCCCCCTTCAACCCCTCCCTGGCCAATATTTACGCAGTGGCAGGGCTCCCGCATGGTCCGAGGGGACAGGAGGGGGTGTGGGGCGGGGAGGGTGGCTGACTGCTGTGCCTGAGCGCATGCTAAGAGATGATGGATGGCCTAGTCGATATGTTATGTCTTAAGAGCCTGATTTCCTGCCAGTCCAATCACTAACCCTCCAGAGCCCGGCTCAGCTGATTGGACAACCAGAATAATTTTGCAGGCTGTGAAAACACTGCTGCCGAGCCTGTCTGTCAGGCCCGGTGACGAGACTCAGGGATTATAAAGAGCAAGGGCCTCTGCGATATAGGTTATGGTGAATGAAATAATAGCAATGACCAGCAAGACTAAACAAAAGAGCAGGCACCTCTGGGAGAAAGACTTTGTGCAGAATCATTGGAATAAAAGTGGTCCAGTGTTTTTCTTTAATTATGCACCCACCAGCAGCATCACCAAAAGACATCTGATCACTTTATTAAAGACATTTTGGATTTCTCCAAAACACATGAAGGACCTCTGACTGATAGAGTGTAAACATAAAGAATATTGCATTATCCACATGACACATTCTGCAGAATGCTGACAGTGAGAACAAAGGAGAGCTGAAGCTACGCCGCGTCCCTTTGGGGACTCGATACTTTCTTCTAGATTGGTGATTAGGGCACAATGGAAGTAGGAAGCTCCAAATACATGCAACTTTGTAAGTGACCTCGGCGGGATCAGCCGTGGTGTCCTGGTGGCCTTGGGGGATTACACGTGTTACATTCAATAAAGTGAGGGCCCTCAGTGTCAAGGAGAAAGGCAAACACAACCATTAACCTCTCCCTTCGATTTCTGGATACACGGGCACTGCATGGCAAAACACTGTCTAATGCTGTGGTGGGAGCCGATACAGAGACCTGTGTGGAATTAATTGGGGATATTAAAGACTGAATTACAAGGGATTATACACGTTTATAGCATCTAAACAGGAAAAATTAATATATGTAAAAAAAAATAACTCGAATGAATTTTGTGAGATCAATATGCTGGAATAGTTTAATATTGTTAAATAATTAGCATTTCCCGTTAGTGTTTTTATTCTCATTCTGGCGTTAGTATGCAATCCCAGCACAAAAGAATAAAAATAGTAAAACTGGGGCATGAAAACAGTCCATAGTGTAACTTACTGAGGAAATCTGTCCTTCAGCATCTTCATACACTGCCGTGTAGGTCTCAAATGATCGGTCCATCTAACTATCTCTTTGTATTCGGCACGAGACAGCCTCATACTTTAATTTTCTTCCGGATCTATGTAAAGAAACAGGAAAAGAGAGCTTGATACATGCAGATTGCAGCAGAGAACGGGGTAACTGACAGCTGTCTGACACGACTGGAATGCTAACCAAATATAGCTTCGTATAACTAACACGGCACACAAAATGCAAACGTTTTCTCTCTTCTTTGTAAAATTATCACAAGTATGTTTCTAAAAAGGGGTTTTCAAACGGTCTTGAACAGTAAATAATATGTAAATAGCTTGTTTACCTGAATTTCCGTCTGAGCACAGCTACTAATGCAACTACTTCCCGCTAGGAAGTTAAAGATGAGAATTCTGAGTGAATAGCGTTCTGATTGGTCGCTCTGTCCTCCTTGCTCAGTAAGCTGGCTGATTATTGGTTGATCTGCAGCAGGAAGGCGTGTCAAGCCAGGATGCAGTGCTGCGTGTGACACATTTTTAGATTGTCAGCTTCCTGCTCTGTGCACGTCCTGTCACGCTTGTCAAGTGTTTTTTTTTTGTCCAAAAGTGCAAAAGTTCTTGAAATAAATGAAAATGAGCGAATGGGGGAGATATCTGACAGGTGGGGTGGGGGTGGGGGGGTGGGGGGTGGGGGGGCATTTTACTTGGAGTCTGTATTACAGTCTGATTTAAACTTGAGCTTAATAAAGAAAGTTATTAAAATGGATTGTCGAAAATAGGATTTGAAATCCTCTGGTGTTGCATGAGGTTGTGACATGACGGCCTTTACTAAAATGAGGGAAACCGTTCAGCTCTAACCACAATAAAACAGCCCAGTTTTCAAGTTACAACAATTCTTGAAGAAATTTCTTTTCTCCTTCTGAAATGCATTGGTAAAAATTTGGAAGCACACTCTATATCTCTGGATATAAATATAAATCATTATTCTTAAATTTTAAACAATAATAAATGAATAAGCATAGTCTATTATATTTTAATCTCAAAAGTATGTTAAAAACAGAATTTCACATTTTCTAAAAAAAAAAATTTAAAAACACTGTTTGCACTTCATGCAGCATCTTCATCGCCTTTCTTTTGTCTTTATTGTTATTTCTGTTGTCACTCTGGCCGACATGACACATTTGCTTCAGTTTCACTTGTTTTATTTATTGTTGAAATGATAATATACTCTGACATCTTGAATATTTAATCTTTATTTTTTAAATGTTTAATTCTCTCATTTGCAGTTCCTAAGATAGATATCCGCAGCCACAGATGTGTAAAATCATAATGAACAGGCTTTAAATTCTCCACAAAAACTGAACTGGAATGGCTGTTTAAGCTAAATCGTGAGAAATGCTTTAGTTTAATGAAAATGTGAAGATTATGATTAATTCTGGCTTTAGCAATTAAATAAGAGTAATTTTACAACCCAGTTTGTCCGACAGGTCCCTTAAGAGCAATATAAAAGCTGTTTTCTCATCTGCCCAGTTTAACTTTATCCTCACTTTGCAAACATAAAACATTACAATTAACCTTACAGCATGCAAACGTGACACAACTTCCAGCAGGTAAACATTCCTTTGAATTCCTTCATTGTGGGTGGACAATAGATTGGTGCACAGAAAGCCTCCATCTGACCTGTGGTGCATCAGAAAATAGAGCTCATTGTTATTGGGCAGTGTAGTATGATGCCTGAGATGAGCTGAGGTCTTGAGCAGTGTGTTCACCGGCACAGTCCGTAGCTCGGCGCTCGACGGTCACTACAAAAGAGGGCTATGTAGTGGGATTGGTACGGTCAGATAAGATCAGGCCCTCTGAGGAAGTCTGGTCTGATTGCTACAAAGAGGCCGAGGTCAGGGGCAGGAGAGGCACTTTATTCATCAGAGGATCAGGGGTTTTCTAGTGAGGAGCTGCACATTTAATAGGTATAAAGGAATCAGTGTAATCCAACTGAATAAAAAGATAAAAATCAGAGGAGGAGTTGAAAGGCTGGGTACTGTAACAGCTCCAGAAGCCAGGAGATCGGAGGTTTTGCTGTGTAGGTGTCTACTATGCTTTTATGTGATCTGTGTGTGTGTTTGTGTGAAGTTTGCATCTGTGTGCATCTTTGGTTGCTATACTGGACTGTGTTTGGAGCTTGAAGGAGAGAGAAAGGGAGAGATGAGGCGATGGAGGGAGATACAGTGAAAAGATGAGTGGTTTAGAGGCGAAATGTAAACAGGGCGGTGGTACATCCCGAGCTGCTAACCAGCTGTGAAGCCTGCTCACAGTTTGAGATGAATTTACAAAGGATGTCTCCCTCTGATATCCAGGAGAGGCTGCACTGATCTCTGCTTCACGGCTCTCGCCGCTGCATTGTAGTGCTAAGCACCGTGCCGCTAATGGTACAGATACACCGTAATGCCAGGAAAACATTTACATTTTGCTTGAAGCAGAGGGGAAACTGTGTAACGGGGAGGGGAAAGGAATCCATTTCTTTGTCGTTTTATGCACAGTCTGAGCTAAATTTGTCTAAGCGACTGGATTTGTAATTTCCTTTACTCGTCACCTGTCTTAAAATCTGGTTCCTCACCATTAAAAAAAGCCTTTTCTAATATGATCAGCGTTGATGTCTTTTGTTCACTCTAAAGAGCAGAATATCTCTCTGGTATCAGGTAAATCACTGATCTCCGGTTTAAAAATCACAGATTAAACACTAGGCAGGAAATGCCTGTAGTATTAGCAAGGTATCAGATTCATAACCCCCTCCCTTCCCTTCCCTTCCCCTCCTCTCCATCTGTACAGGATGACTACCCCTGAAAAGCCCACATCCATATTTCACATCACCAGAGACCCGAGCGTTTCATCCTAAAGCCTTTTCTTTTATATATTCTATTATCCTCCTAGAAATTAAATTAGTGGACATGTAATTAAATCCAATTGAGCTTATCTTCCTTACATAAACATGCAAGCACACATGCTCTCATTCAGCTGTATTTTTTTTATCTTTTTTTGTAAAAACACAACATGAGCAAGTGCACAGCATAAAAAAAGATAATCTGTAATATTTGGAAATTGTATTTCTCTCTCCAAATGGCTACACGCGGAAACAAAGGCTGCAGCCCAAGCTCATTAATCATAGTCAACGGGTTGTCCGAGTGCAATTTGCATGACCGAGGTGGCTGCACATGCTGCACGCTCAGCCTATAGGTTGCTGGATCTGCCTCAATTTGGCCAGGCCGTTAACGCTGCGTCAATCAAGAAGAACCCAATAAAAATGACAGGAGGAGAGGAAAAACTGTTTCTTCTCATTACTTGTTTTGCTCTCATACTATTATTTTCTCTTTTGTCAGAACACTGTGCAGGTGAAAAAATAATATTTTATTATATTTATTATAAAGATGTAAAAGTTTAGCTTTCTTATAAAAAATTGAACGTTGACTTAAAAAATGATTTATTCCCAGCATATCTTATTTATGCTTGACTAAAATGTTCATGCATTTTTGTAACAATCCAGCTTTTCAAAGAAAAACACATTTTTTTGTCTAAAAAAATCTTATTTTCTGTTAAAATTTTTATTTAATTTTTATCAGTCACCATTTGCAGCCTGGTAAGGCCTTTTTAACAGCAGATAATTGGGCTGGAAGTTCAAAATGAGGCAGTTTTGCAAATCTCTACATTCTGAGTTCTAATTATCTCATGGTGGACTCTTTTTAAATTATCCTACGAGTGTGTAACAGTGCTTGTGTGACTGCATCTATCTTTCTGTGTGTGTGTGTGTGTGTGTGTGTGTGTGTGTGTGTGTGTGTGTGTGTGTGTGTGTGTGTGTGTGTGTGTGTGTGTGTGTGAGTGTGTGTGTGTGTGTGTGTGTGTGTGTGTGTGTGTGTGTGTGTGTGTGTGTGTCTCTATCAGTCACACCCACACACTCCGTCACCACACACAGACGAGATGGTGTCTGGTGTGGCCTCCTCTACCTTGCTTTGCTGCTGAGGATCACGCTGTGCCCCCCTCCCTCTCCATCCCCTAATATCCTGGAGGCATTTTTCTCATTATCAAATATTGTTTGATGTCTTTGTTTCTTGATGATTAACCGCGGTCACCAAGCACCGGTCTGGATTGTTTAAAATTTAATTTTTTTTAAGGGTGGGGACGCTGAAGTACCTGCAGAGGGGCCGACTGGTGGGGACACGCGTGTTTTATGCGCGCTATTTTTCATGCAGGAGGACATACGTTAAAAAAACAAGATAAATCCTGGAGGAGAATCATTAGCAGAGAACTAGTGCTTTTTATGACCGTTGTTATTCCTCGCTGTATTGAGATGCAATAAATTATTCTGTTTATTAAAGCTTTATGTATGCAGTCCAGTTTTCAGAATAATTCTGTTTTTCTGCACAGACGCCCTGCATCAGTTTAAATAGAAATAAAACAAACTTACACACATACTTTGACAACATTTTTCACCAAATCCTGGGTTCTGAAGCATCTTTTGAATACAATTCCTCTCCGACTTTACTGAACATGTGTTTGAGTGTAATTGAAGCATCATAAAGACAAATATGATGCCTGAGGAATCCAGGATTTATGATCAAATCAACTTTGCGAGCAAACAAATAGGGAAACAATGCTCTCCCTTAATGCCAGCATGTCAAATTTATATTGAATCCTTGAAATATTCTGTGTATCTGAGCCTGGATGGGAAACCATCGTATCGGTCTAATGATATTATCCCCTGAAATCTGGAGTGAAAGAAAAATGGCAGAAATGAGCAGTACCATTGTCTGCCCTGTTTTATTTAAACAAATTGCAAAAGCAAATAGAAAGAGAGAGAGAGTGAGAGGAGAAGGGAGGCAAGAAAATAGAGAGAGAGAGAAAGTGCTCCTTTGAATGAAAGGTTATGCGTCGTCCCATGTGTTTGTATTGTCAATAACTGGAGAAGGCTGTCAAGAAAGTGTGGAGATAAAGGTCAATAACTCAGGCAAATGTGTTTGTATTTGTACACTCCTGCTGATAGCATAGCAAACGTCAGAGCCTGTGTCTGACACCGCACAATAACACAAACAGTCGGGCTATAGCTGCAGAATAGTCATTATTATTGTTGCTGCTGGAAATGAGAGGGAAACCTCAGCACATGGCAGCGACAGCCGGCGGCGCGTCACTCAAACATCACCTCATACTGAAACGCAGATCAGAGATGATGCTGCTGGCTTCATTTGATTCATTATTCCTCAGATTTTATATTATTTTTAAAAAATCGTTAAAACACCCAAGGTAGGATATTTTAAATAAATATTCTTCTTTTAATGTATGCAAATGATTGACTTAATTATTGTGATGCATTCAGAAACATTTTTTTTTATCATTTTTTAATGATTTTAAATGAAATAAAATAGACTC